GGCTCAGTAGGTTGGAACATCATCCTGTGCACCAAAAGGGTGTGGGTTCCATTCCCAGTCAGGCCACACACTAGCTAGGTTGCGGTTCGATCTCTGGTCAGGGTGCACAACCAATCAATATTTCCCTCTCACATTGATGCTCTCTCTCTCTCCCTCAAATCAATAAAAACATATCCTTCGGTGAGGATTAAATATATATATATATACACACATGTTATCTCTTTGTAATCAGTACACACACACACACACACACACACACACACACCCTAGAGGCCCGGTGCACGGATTCATGCACCAGTGGAGTCCCTCAGTGCGGCCTGCAGGATTGGGCCGAAACTGGCAGGCAAACATCCCCCCAGGGAGGTAGTCATGTGCGAAGTGGCAGGCAGCTGGGGAGGAGCCCAAACCCGGGCTGGGTGCTGTGCCACCCCCACTCACCCCAGCCCCGCTGCGCCTGACGTAGCTGGTAGGCTCGCTGCTGCTCCGCTGCAGTCTCTGCACACCCGTCCTAAGGCAATACCAGCACGCCCATGACCAAGAAGCGCCCAGTCAGTCTTGTTGCGGGTGCTGATCGTGGTCTGGATGGAGGAGGGGCGCGCAGGGGGAGTGTCCATGGGGGAGGCTCAAGCCACTGCAGCTGCGCTCGCCAGCTGTGTGAGCCCAGGGGCGCCTGGTAAACTGAGCGGCTCTCCCTCTGTGAGAGCGCACTGACCACCAGGGGCAGCTCCTGCATTGAGTGTCTTTCCCCTGGTGGTCAGTGTGTGTCATAGCAACTGGCTGAACGGTTGCATAGGCTTTTAGATAGATTTTTTTTATTATTGACTACAGAGAGGAAAGGAGAAGGAGAGAGAGAGAGAAACATCAATGATGAGAGAGAATCAATGATTGTCTGCCTCTTGCAGACAATTGGTTATTAACTAAGCTTATAAGTAAAAAAAAAACACTAAACCATATTCAGCAAGAGGCACAGATTCTCCCAGTATAATCCTTTAAAATGGTACTACGGTTAGCCACCAGAAAAATGCAAAAGTTTCTGAGCATCAACTTGATATTGCCACATCGAAACATGTGATCAGTAGATTTGTCTCACTGAATAGGGAACAAAAGTAAGGATTTGTAACAGATTGAAAAAATAAATACAACAGGAAGAAGCCAGGAAGAAAAGACTGATTCTTCACGGAGAGTTTGAAAAGCACTGTCTAAACTCCTTGGGCAAGAATCTTCGGCTGGCGCCAAATGTGAGTTTGGAGTGAAAGCCAATGGCAGCGGCTGGTTATTAAGAATGCAACCTAGGCAAGTACCCTTGACCGGAATCGAACTTAGGACCCTTCAATCCGCAGGCCAATGTTCTATCCACTGAGTCAAATTAGCTAGGGTTATAAACAGTCTTATCTCCTGCAAGTTTCAGAAAGGCAATGAAACAACTGGGAAAATAAGCCCTAGGGATCTCTTGCTCAATTGCTCAGTAAGGGAGACTAAAGTCGAGAAGATAAAGTTGGAACGAGACAAAGTCTGGGTACCTTGAAAAGATGCTCTCGTGTGACTCAGGAATGCCTTGGCAGAGAGGAGACGCTCCATAGTACCTGTCAGTGCGTGAGGACCCTTAGTGAGCAGGGAAGAACATCCTGACCCTGTGAGAGACGCACAGTTACTAGTAAACCCAAAGCCAGTCAACCCAGTGAATGATGGATGCCTTGAGCTCTCGTTCTTGGGAAGAAAATGCAAGACTCCTGTCCAAGATGCTATTTATTTGAGGTATCGAAGAAGCAGAAAACATTCACCCAGTTGGAGGGGGATGGAGAAGAAGGCATTTAAATTTACTCATTACAAATATGTCCTGGGGACCTACTTTGTGCTGGGCTCCAGGACATGATGGTGTTTACAGCCCAGCAGGGCAGAGGGACGTGAAACGAGCAATTATACATGTGAGCAGAGTTACTGTACTCGGGGCGGTTTGATCTTGTTGATCAGGGGTCAAGGGAGAACTCCCAGAGGAAGGGCTGGTTCTGAAAATGGTACTGAGACCTGGAAATGGAGAGGAACTGATGACCAAGTAGTGAGGAAGGTTTTGAAAACAGCAACCAGCATGGCAGAGGGTCCCAAATGCAGAGGAAGAGCGGTCCATTTGTCAAACTGACATAAGTTACGGCCGAAGCTTGGAGAGCAATGCAGAGTGTCTTCCGGGGGGGGGGGGGGGGGGGGGGGTTCAGGGTGGGAGGGATCCTACGTGCCAGGCTTTATAAGGATTTGAGAATTTATCCCTCAAGACAGCAATGTTCAACCCTTCCCATCTCATGGCACACATAAACTAATTACTAAAACTCTGCAGCACACCAAAAAAAATAGTTTTGCCAATCTGACTGAACAGAAAAGAAAATATAATTTTGATTCGTTCACACCAGATAGCTCTTGTGTTGGCTGTTGTCATTTTTTAACGACAATCTAAGAGAAGAGAGGGCAGCGCCCCTGACTAAATAGTCAGGCAGTGCATCTTTTAGAAATTCTTCCCTGGCCAGGTGGCTCATTTGGTTGGAGTGTCGTTCAGATACACCAACACTGGGGGTTAGATCCCTGGTCAGGGCGAATACAAGAATCAACCAATGAATGCGTATATTCTAGTAAGCAGAACAACAAATCGATGTTTCTCTCTCTCTCTCCCTTCCTGTCTCTCTAAAACCAGTAAAATGAATATATTAAATTCAATTAAAAAAAAAAAAAAACCACAACACTATGAAAGTAGTTTTGAATATCACCACCGTAGGACAATAGGACGCCAACGCAGCGTCCTAAGTGGTGAAGCGTCAGGCTCAGGGTTGTACTTAAAAAGGTTCAAACTGGTCCTCTGACTACTGAAGCCCATGGCACCAGGAATACAGGAATAGCCCGTCTCGTCTGGATCTCCTACACTTGTAAATAGGGCGATATTCCCTGGCGGGGATGGCAGGTCTCCGAATGGCAAGGGTCTCCGGCTTGCACGGAGCAGGGAATAGAAAGCCTGCCACGCTCACTGCCCGGCGCGCAGCAGCGCTGGTGGCAGCCTCCAGAGAGGCAGCTCAGGACCCAGGCTCCCCCGTGTCTCCGAGATGGGCACCTTAGGATGGCAAACTGGGTCCCCACGCCCTTCTGTGGCCCGGCACACGTGGTAGAGCAGGCAGCGGCCTGCCCGGACCGTCGCGCAGGCCTTGCCATGTTCTAAACGCCCTAAAGGTGCCGTCCAAAGTGGGCCTCGGGGAAGTGCAGCCGCTCTGGCAGGGTTAGGGAGGCGAACAGCCTCCCTGGGCCGCTCCATCGGCCAAGCTTAGAATAAAGAGCGTTTTCAGAGCCCGGAGTTTTCCAGCTGCCTGGAAACAGGAAGAGCCCAATGCCGGGGAACAGTAACCCTCACACACGCCCCACATAAAGACACGCTGAGCCATTAGCCCTAATTGCCTGTGACTGACACAGGAGCGGAGCCGGCCTTCCAGGCATTTGCTCAGCGGAAAGAAAACAAACAGCTCACAGGGGACCCGGGCGGCGCCATTTTCTCTCCTTTCTGCCAAAATGATTCTGCTCCGTTCCCCCCTAAATTATACACAGATTTGAAAATTGTAAACCAAAAATGAAGGTCTTTCGAGTAGTTCTTACCACATACAAAAGAGAAAAGAAATCTCAGTAGGGAGGAATTGGACACGGCAATTGGTTATTAATCTTTTCATGAAATCAAAAACTTCACACAAAAAAAAACACCAAAAAAAAACTTCTCAGAGCCACTTCTCAATACCCCCGATTCACTCCAGGCTTGAGGTATTAAGAGCTATTTGCAATACTTTTCATTTGCTCAGCACACTTTATGATGAAATATGAGTTAGGCAGTGCGCCAAATGGTAAGGATACAATACGTATGTGGTAAAAAAAAAAAAAAAAAAATCGCATATGTTGCAGATTTAGGATCGTCGTTTTAACAACGGGGTTTTCTAAAGTAGCTTAAGAACAATACAGCATATTATGCACCAAGCAAGAGACCCTCCCCTTCCCCTTTTCCTTATGAGTTACAGGGCTCAGAGGACCCACCAGCAGCAGCAGCAGCAGCAGCAGCAGCAGCAGCAGCCAGACCACGGTGACTGTGGCGACATGGACACTGCTGTCCACAGAGCCAGACTGATAGATAACCAGGATGGACAGGGGGACCACAGACAGACTGGCCCTGCTATGACTGGTAGCCCTAAGATAAGGCTTCATTTCCCAGTTCAAAACTATGCATGGTTCTTCAAAAATATCATTCACCGGGTGCAATGCCCACCACTGTGTAAGTGCTTCCCTTATGCCATCTTATTTGAGACTCTTAACTTCCTAGGGAGATATGCATGATCATTATCTCCACCTCACCAGGACAGTAGGCCACTCAGACAATGCCAAATAGGGTCAAGGGAGGATTCAAACCTAAACCTATTTGAGTTTGAGTCTCTGCTTTTATCTCCACTCACTATATAACTAAACTTGAACTTCCTTTTGGCTTACTAGGGCCATCTTCTTAGCATTCAAGGTCTTTACCATCAAGATTTAATTCTGAACTAAAGATGGCAAGGATACTAGTAGCCCATGTTAATATCTGCACCAGTTACGGGCATAACACATAGTAATGTTCCGAGCCTAAAGCCCTCCACAGGCCGTTAAGATAGAAGTGAAGAGAAAGGCTGTTTTCTAGGCAAACACCGTTCGATGGTTTTGGAAGGCAAAATAAACTCCTTGTTCTATAAAAGCCACATTCTTGGGATCAAGCTGTTCATTTCCAGTCACAGCATAAGGCAGCATTGATCCCGCCCCAGTTGATTTAGATTCTCTTTAAGATTTACGTAGAGTAAGCAGTTCTTCTTCCACACCTCCCTCAGTCCTGAGCACAGCGGCCGCCCAGAGACTCCCGGCCACGAGGTAATAAATCACCTTGTTGTTTCTGCCCCGGTGAAGGGGCCTCAGTCTTTGGAGGGTTGGAAAGCGCTGCTGTGGGACAGAGGGCTACTCACCCAGCAGGCAGGGCATCGGGGGCCGGGACAGCCGGGAGGGCCTGCTGTGTGCCCGACGTGCTGGGCTCCTCTCCTTCGGCTGGCGTGGCCGGAGCAGGGAGAGACCCTGCAGTGGGGTTCGGGGTAACACTCGATGCTGCAGCAGGTGGGGATGTCACACCAACGACAGAAGGTTCTTCGGGATCAGTGGCTCCAGCAGATTCGTCATTCACTAAAAATTCAGAAATCATATTTTAGAGGTTTTCCCCTTAATGTGGTAACAACAGTACCCACAATGTGACCATGCATGTATCCAGTGACATCAAAAAATGTTACAGATCTGCCGAAACCGGTTTGTCTCAGTGGATACAGCGTCGGTCTGTGGACTGAAAGGTCCCAGGTTCGATTCCGGTCAAGGGCATGTACCTTGGTTGTGGGCACATCCCTGGTAAGGGGTGTGCAGGAGACAGCTGGCCGATGTTTCTCTCTCTTCGGTGTTTCTAGCTCTCTATCCCTCTCCCTTTCTCTCTGTGGAAAATTAATAAAATATATATTTTTTAAATGTTACAGATTATAACTTAGGAAATTAAGGCAAGTCAGTAATGGTCTGCCAGAAGAAAATTGGAAGATGGGTCTGAAATAAATAGGCTATTAAATACTACCTCTTATAGAAGTTTATTAGATTTTTCTAACATACCATGGTTACACTTACAGAAATAAAAGAATAGCAGGAAAAATAAAGAAAACGGGGAAGTGTATGGGTGCTAAATGGAGCCAGGCCGAGTTTATAGGGCCATACACTTTTGTTTAAACTTGTCATTTGTCTGCCTTCCTTCAGAAAGCTCCACACACAGCAAGAGGAGGAAAACATATACTAATGCGCTGGTTCTTTTAAAGAGTCACACTCAAGGTAGGGAGCAAGGATTAATATTCTAGACAAAAAGGATGGGGCTCCTAAGGTACAGGACTTGTCTCCAAGGTAACAAGAGGCAAGGAGACAGAGTGACACAAGCTGCTCCTGAGTCTCCTTGTTTCTCCGCATCTTCATTTCTCAGGACCCAGGGCACTCTCACTCAAACAAGGATCAAAAAGGTTTTGAAGAATCTTAATTCTTTGAAAACGAGTAAGCTTTACGCAGAGGACTTTCTACATGTGAGATTGCGCCTGTGTGCGTTTATACTGGAATTTTGTAGGAAAATGCCTTAGTTGTTTGCCATTTAGCCTCCTTTCCCTAATTCAGAAATTCTTTTTGCAGTTTCTTTAACAAGTGGCTACCCAGCCTCTTCTCGGATGTTTCTCCTGACAGGCAGCTCACTGCAGTCTTTCCGTTGCTGAACATGTCCCTGCCAGAAAGTTTTTTCTCAGGTTAAGCTGAAGTTCATTAGCTGGTTTCAGTCCCCAACCCCAGGCGATATGAAGTACGTATCTGACACCGTTTCTCAATCACCTTCCCTTTTCCAGTAAAAAGGCCTACTATCCCTTCAACGTTTCTAGGCCACCCTCTTCTTACCACCTGGCTTCTCTGTAGAGACCTTTTCCCTCTGCCTCTCCTAAGTGATGATATCGGGAACCGAACATAATAAATCAGATGCCATCAGACCAGTGAAGTCAGATTACCAATATAAATGATATTAGGTAACATTCACAGGCAAAGTGCAAAAGCATTTTCAATTCTCTCAGTTAAGCCTCACACACAATCCCATGAGTCAGGTACAGTTAACAGCTCCTCACATTACATGCTTCTACCTAGTATTAAAATTTAGTGTATTTAGCTAGTTTGGCTCAGTGGATAGAGCATTGGCCTGCGGACCGAAGGGTCCCAAGTCCGATTCCGGTCAAGGGCACATGCCTGGGTTGCGAGCTCAATCCCCAGTAGGGAGCATGCAGGAGGCAGCCGATCAGCGATTCTCTCTCATCACTGATGAGGCCGGAAGAGTTTAAATAGCCTGCCAAGGTCACAGGGCACCCCTGCCGTCTGCTTCCAGAGCCTGAACCCCTCGATCATTACACCCCACTTGCCCTGTCTGGACATCCTCTAACGCCACAGAAGACTGGAATAATGCTGAAGCAACCACATGACGCTACCAGCTGACTGAGACTGGAGGTCAGCTGAAACTGAAGTTTGTTTGCATAATGTGATGCCAAGCTAGACCTTGACAAATGAATAAGAGCCTAGGAACCAACTACGATTAATCTGTTTGCTTTCTCCCTAGGAAATGATATATGGTCTGGCACACAGGCTGAATTAGTTGTTTAATAAAGAACTACATCTTGTGCAGCTGATGTTTCCCCAACAAACATGCAAGAATTTATGTTTCTGTTCCATCTCAGCTAAGTTAGTAAAACACAACAGATGGCAATTCTCTTTATGCAGATCTATACATTTTACTCATTTCCAATAGAAAAAACCATCATGACATTTCGAAGCACTAAATAAATTCATTCTAAAAATTATAAGGAAAACTACATACAGAAGAATAACTATGAAAATTCTAAAGACTAAGTTTTATGTGTATATGTAATAGGGTGAGGGGTCGTTCTCTAAAGTATTAATATCTACAATAAAGCTACAACACTTAAAACAATGTGGCACTGTTATATGAATAGGCAGGTGTCAATTGAACAATTAAGAAAGTTCAGACACAATTAAATACACATTGGAATTTAGTATATGTCAACTATGGCATTTTAAATTACTGCAGAAAAGACAGGCTGTTCAATTAACAGTGCTGTGACAAGTGGATATACTGAACAAAAACCAAATTTCACTCCTTTCTGCTCCTTACATCAAAATAAATTCCAGATGGATCAGAGATTTTGACACACACACACACACACACACACACACACACACAATGAAACTACAGAGGAACTAAAAAAACAACAGAGGATAATATTTTTATAATCTCACAGTAAAAATGATTTTTTAAATATTACACAAAAGACAGAAGTCACAAAAGACTGACAATTAAAATGTTTTAAAAATCTAACTGGGGGAAAAACATCATAAGCAAAATTAAAAGCAAAAGAAAAATAACAACTAGGAAATATTATCAACTCAAATTATAGACCAATGGCTAATTTCTTTGATATGAAAAGAACCTCTACAAATCAGAGATACTTCATAGTTAAGAAAATACAAATTACCCTTAAATACCTGAAAAGATGCTAAATCTCAATTGTGAAGAAATGTAATTGAAGATTATAATGAAATACCATTTTTTAACCTTAGATTGACAAGAGTAAAAATATTTAACCACACATTTATCAGAGTATTTTTTTAAAAATGCATTTTTGCCCTAGCTAGTTTGGCTCGGTGGATAGAGCATTGGCCTGCGGACTGAAGGGTCCCAAGTTCAATTCAGGTCAAGGGCACATGCCTGGGTTGCGTGCTCAATCCCTAGTAGGGGGCATGCAGGAGACAGCCGATCAGTGATTCTCTCTCATTATTGATGTTTATGACTCTCCCTCTCCTTTCCTCTCTGAAATCAATAAAAATATATTTTTAAAAAATGCGTTTTCACATACTGCTGGTAAGAGTAGAAATTGCTCAAACCTCTCTGGAGCACAATTGAGCAACATAAAAAATGTAAATACAATCATTAAAAGATGGGGGGAAATGAAGGTAGGTATGACAAAGAGAGGTGGTAGATAAAATTAAAGATGTCATGAATAATTAACATCTGAAGCTGGGTGATGAGTTCATTCTAGCATTCTTTGCTTCTATGCACGTTCAATGTTTGTGTACAGGAGACACATGATGTCTGATCGTCTCTCTGTTGTAATGTTAGCAGCCACTGATGATTATTGGCTAATTTCATTAATTGGTTAGACTGCAAAACACTAATATGCAAATTCTACCATTTCTATAAAGAGAAAATTTGCCTTACCAACTATTTGGCTTTCTTGAGGTTCAGATTGTAAAGAAAAGGCAGAAAAAATGCTTGAGTCTTTCCTTTTATTTAAGCAGTTTTCAGAATAATGAATTGATTTCCTCACATCCTCCAAAAATAAAAGTGACATTTTGACTGCAAACACTGAGGGCAACACGCTGTAGAGTATATGATTGTCTAGCCAGTAGGCTGTACAACCTGAAGCTAATACAAAAATAATATTCAATGTAAACTGTAATTGAAAAATAAAAATGTTAAAAATAAATTGGGGGGAAAAACAAAAAAAGGATTTTTTTGTTTAAAAAATCACTATGAATTCTTAGATTTAAACATATTTAAAATATTTCAATCCATTGTAATTATTGTTCTTACTGAAACTAAAATCTTTGACTGTGGTTAGCAGAAGAGGGAATGGGCAAAGCTCAAGTTGGCTTGGAGGTCTATAGAAAAACTTTTCAGGTAATTATTAAGTGGAAAAGTGCACACAGCATATATATTACTAAGGAATATATAGGCACATGCTTGTATATTAAAAAATATCTCAGTGAGAATCACAATAGTGACTGCTTCTGGAGAGGAGTTAGAGGCTGGAGGACTAGAATGGGAAGGAGACTTTCTTTACACAGTTTAAGCTTTTATACTTTTAAAGTATCATAACCTACACATACTGCCTATTAAAATAATGATTATGAAACTACTGACCAGGAAAAGGACAAAGGCAGAGCCCCATGACCGCCCATGGGAAAGACCCTCCAATCACCACTGCGTTTCATGCGGCTGCAAACGTAGGTAAGTCTGCCTTTCACTCTCTGGAGTAGCTCACCTGTTTAAGAGTTTTGTGCTGCCCCTCAAGTTTAGATTAGAATATGAAAGTCGGATAGTCTAGCAAAGGCAAACTTTCTGTGTCCATGTTTATACTCTTCTGCTCTTAGAACGTGAGAGCTTGAAAGAACCTCAGAGGCAAATCTACCCCTTATAGTCAGAAAAAACTCAAGTTCAGACAATTAAGTTAGTGGCCTGGAGTCACCTAACAAGCCATGATGTGGACTGTCAGAGACACAGACTTACAATTTCATCAGGCCTTAGAGAATCGCTGTATTTTACATTCTAGCTCTATTCAATGTAGCCAACACTCCCTTAGCAATCCTAATTCCTGAGTGTATCCAACGTACGTTTCCCAAAAGACGGCACCCTTCTCGAGAATGGAGGAAAATTCATTTTCCTTCGTTTTTCATGACTTCCAGTTTGTACTTCTTAAGTTCTTGCTTTCACATCTTTGCTCAGCTCAGCCCTCTTCCCTGAAGCCTCTCCCCACCCCCTCACCCCCACACACACACCA